CTCAAGTAGTTCCTCCCCCAGAATGTTCCTCTCTATCTCCCATGTGCGATCCCAACTCAACCCATAAGTTCACCCTGATAGCGCCTCTTCCAGGCAGCCTTCTCTGATTTCCCCACTGGGGAAGATGGTGCTCAGCCCCTATATCTTAACTTTGCATGACTATCCCTTCTTTCCCCACAGGACCCTGATGCTGGGAAAGATTGAAGGCAGGAGGAGAAGGGGATGACAGAAGATGAGATGGTTGGATGGCATCACTGACTGGATGGACATGAGTTTGAGCAAGCTCTGGGAGTAGGTGATAGACAGGGAAGCCTGGCATGCTTCAGTCCATGGGGTCACAGAGAATCAGACATGACTCAATGACTGAACAACACCACCACAAAGACGGCCATCGACAAGCCAGAGGGAGAGGCCTTGGGAGGTACCAGTCCTACTGGCCCCTTGATCTTGGATGGAAGTGAAAGTGAAAGTCACTCAGTCGTGTCCGACTCTTTGCGACCCCATGGACTATACAGTCCAAGGATTTCTCCAGGCCAGAATACTGCAGTGGGTAGCCTTTCCCTTCTCCAGGGGATCTTCCCGACCCAGGGATGGAACCCAGGTCTCCCGCATGGCAGGCGGGTTCTTCACCAGCTGAGCTACCAGGGAAGCCCTTGGGTGACCAGCCTCCAAACCCTGAGAGAATGAGTGCTGCTGTTTGGGCCGCCTGGTCCGTGGCTCTCTGTCGAGGCGGCCCTGGGAGGCTGACACAACTGCCCGGGAGGAACCTGACCTCTGAGAGGCGCATCAGGGGTGACCCACTTCACACCTTCAGAAGCCCCATGCTCCAATTGGGAGCCCTGTGTCTCTGGGTATAAAACATGCACAAGTGTTAGGTTCCCGACGATCCCCCAGTAGAGAGCGGGGAGAGTCAGGCAGAATTATCTCTGCTCCCCTAGACATCTCCAACCCACTCCTGCAAACACGGACACAGCTGAAGCAGAAAAGGGAGGGGGCAGGGCAGGCCAATCCCTGGCCCAACAGTAACAAAGCCGAACAACTGGGCCTGGCTGCAGGAAGCTCACGTTCCAGTCCATTAGCGTATCAAAGCTACAGTTCCACTGCCCTAAAGAAAGGCATGCAGATGAGCTGTACTTAAATAAATAACCTTGGGATTTCCCGGAAGCGGGATTTCCCGGAAGCGGGAAAACTGGGACAGGGCACAGCATCATCCCATTGTGGTCGCATGAAACCCTGAGCCTGGAGGCAGAGACCTGCACCCTGTCATACATGTCCTCTGTGTGTGTGTGTGTGTGTGTGTGTGTGTGTGTGTATGTGTGTTAGTGGCTCAGTCGTGTCTGACTCTTTGCAACCCCATGGATTGTAGTCCACCAGGCTCTCGCTTCTGCCCATGGAATTCTCCCGGCAAGAATACTGGAGTAGGTTGCCATTCACCTTCCCCAGGGGATCTTCCCCACCCAGGGATGGAACCCGGGTCTCCTGCATGGCAGGCGGATTCTTTACTGTCTGAGCCACCGGGAAGCCCTCATTCTTGTCATATATGCCTCCAAATCACCCCTCTGCCTCTCAGCGTAGCTAGGGAGACTCACAACCTGGAGCCTCTGTGCACCACCCCGTCTGGAAGCATCAAAGGTAACACCGGTTGGTTGCAATGAAACATTCATTTCACACCTAACAATTCATTTCTATGGCTAAACGGCAGACAGAAAGGCAGTGTCTGAACTTCCAAGCAAGTCCACTTCTGCATCTCCATGGGAGCGGGAAGAAACCAAGCCTTTGGAAGGAAAAAGCACATATGTTCTCAGCGCTACAGCCACAGGGCCTGTCCTGCAGCCAGCTCACATCCTGTGATTCTCCATTCCTTTCTGCAGATGCTCTAAAATACCGTTTTAAGCAGCCTACCCCTCTCAGCAAATGCTTTTTCTATTAACTTTGAAAAACACCTGACACAGTAAAGCAAACACTTTCTCTGCTCACAAAGCACCTGGGCAGAGCCTAGCTCCTTGGATCCGGATACCTGTGCAAACGAAGTGAAATAAAATTTTGAAAAGACTCTGCTCAGCACATCAGCCTCGAGTCAGTTTCTTTCCTGTTGCCGCTTTCAAAGATGGGGCTTTCAAGCGGAGGTGATCCAAGTGCAAAATCCTGGCTAAAATCCTTGGCCCTGTGGCTGCCAGAGGGACTTGGAGCGCATTTCTGAGAGTGGAGAAAATAACGTAACGCATGCGCGGAGTGCTAAGAAACTAGAGACTGGGGGGAAAAAATGGCTTTCCTCGGCTCTTGGTTACAGCTTTCACTCCTCTTGAGTTTTCCCCAGGCAAGTGAAACTCAGGCATCACCTGCTGCCAAAGCCAAAGAATTTGATGTGCTTTTCCAGAGAGGACTCCAGTCTCCCATTCCAGAGAATGGGTGATGGGGCGAGTGGGGGCAGGGCATTGACAAGCGAAGTGGGAGGTGCTTGAGCCAAATGCCTGGTCAGCATCTCCGGGCTGCTCTGCCCGCCTTCTTACCCACAGACACTAACAGCCATGAGTACTTGGGCTTCCGCCTCCTGAGTGTCTTGCTAAGTGCCAGGCCACGCCCGGCTCCCCACAGTCACCCCTGCCTGCACCGCCTTTCCTAGCTCCAGGGGAGCAAGGCATCTCTCAAAGCTCCTCTCCAAATCTGGTCTTCCTGCCCCCCACTAAAGAGGAAACAGCACCCCCCTCCCACTTCCCACTCGCAACCTCCCCCTTCCAGGCATTCACCTGCCAGCAGCCAGGAAACAGTCATAAGGGACCCACTCAACTCAGCCACTGTCCGAGGAGCAAAGGCAGGCGGTCTCCTCTGCCAGGCCCTGCCCCCTGGTCCCTCCAAGGCAACTCTGCAGTCAATGGGGGTCGGCGGGCTGGCGCTCAGTGAGCCCTGAAGGTGCTGGTCCCAACTGGGAGGCTGGTCTCCACCGCTCCATGTCTCTCCCTAACTTCTTGCACCCCCACCAGCCACCCTCCCCCCGACAAAGCTAAGATGAATTAGTTTCTGGACGAATCTGGGGTGGGTGGGGGTCTTGGTTTGGATGTTCTGGCTCCACAGGATTGACTTAGGAGTCAATATTTATTTGTTCCCTTGAGTTACTGGGGTCCAGGTTTTGCCCTGCAGCCCCAAAGGTACAGCTTAGGGTACACAGGACAAGGAAGAAGACCAGAGTGAGGGAAGGGCAGGGCCCAGCTGCACGTCTGGGGTCTGACCCCTCTCTCCAGACGCATGCCGGTTTGGACGTCCAGGCAGTTTCCTGGTGGCTCAGATGGTAAAGAAACCGTCTGCAATGCAGGAGACCCAGGTTTGGTCTCTAGGCCAGGAAGATCCCCTGGAGGAGGAAATGGCAACCCACTCCAGTATTCTTGCCTGGAGAGTCCCATGGACAGAGGAGCCTGGTGGGACACAGTCCATGTGGTCTCAGAGGGTCGGATAAGACTGAGTGAACAATACTTGGACCCCCAGGGCTCTTCCAAGGAGGGGGGCGCCTGCTCCCCTCCTTACTGCCTCTCGGGGCCCTGACTGCCTCCTGCTGGCCAGCCCTGCCCAGAGAGTGAGCCCGGCCCTGCCCCGCCCCCAGGGCATCCAGTCTGACTGGAGACGGCACAAAGACCAGATACCAGAGACCTGGCGTTGGCAGGAGAAGCTGGCTGGGGAGGGCGGCCAGCAGGGCACTGAGCTCTGGGCCAACCAGGCCCGGCCAGCGCTGCCCCTGCACCAACAGACTCACTCCCCCGCCGCATCCCTTCTCCGGCAGAATTCCCCATCCCAGGGCGCCCAGCACGCAGGGGCTAGACAGAGGAGCTGAGGAACAGCACCGCCCAGCGCAGGCTACACTCCTGGCCTGCCTCGAAGAGCGCCTGGCCCCCCACCCCTCCTCCCGATGGACTGATGGATGCAGGGCCTGGCCCTATGCCACCTCTCCAGAAGTTTGGGGGTCAGTGGTCAAGGAGAAGGGTTGGGGGCAGCCCGTGGCAATGAGCGGACAGGGATGCATGGGAGCGAGGAGGGGTGCCCTTCTGTCTCCCCATAACCGGCCACTCCCACCCTCTATCCCCAAACTAGAGCCAGCTGGGGCTGCTAGGAGGTGACCTCAGTGCGATCCTGGGCCACCTACTGGGATGGGAGCAAAGCGAGGTGGAAGGGCAGGCTCGCTGGCTCCCCTCCTCCAACCCCACCCAGGGGAAGATAGGTGAGGGTTAGCCCCATACCCCTGACACACCACCCAAAGGAAGTGGGTACAACCCACAGGGCTGGTGGAGGGAGGCGCCAGAGGACCCTAACAGAAGTGTCTTTGCTGGGCAAGGGTGTCCAACTTCCAGCTGGAGCCAGGCCAAAGTAGCGGCGAAGGTGGGGGAGGGCGGGGAGCGCAGGGAGCTGGCCAGAGCGCCGCGGAGCCCAGCTCCCCGGGTTAGCGGATCCCCGCACATCCAGGTGCGTCCGGCGGCGGGTCCTCCGGACGGGAAGAGGGGCAGCCCCAGAACCGGACGCCGGGCTGACCGCGGAGGTCCTGGAGCCCGTGGAGGTGCCAAGAGAGGGTACCGGGTACACCAGGGTGGAGAGGGTCCTGGAACCAGAAAAATCCCAAAGCAGCGCTGGGCGGACCCGGCGGAGCATGAAGGCGATCGAAGAGCAACACCGAGTTGGGAGTGATCTTAAAAGGCCTGGGGCGTCCCAAGGTGGCCGGGGTCCCAAAACCTCCAGAGACACCCCCAACCTGCGATCTGGAGGCCAGTGGGGGCGCCCCCAGACGGCTCAGGGTCCCGGAAATCAGTGGAAATGTCCCCGGAGGTGAGGCAGGGTGCTCACGTATCTGGAGACCTCTTCCCAAGTGGCCCAGGGACAGCAGGGGCGCCGCCGGGGTAACTCCCATCCCCAGGTCTCCGAGGATAGCAGGGTGACCGCGGGGCCGTCCAGAAGTGGGGGGCTCAGAGGTGTCCCGGTCAGGGCCCGCGGGGGGGGCGGGGGGCGCGGAGGTCACTTACACTGCTGTTCTCGCCCGTCCAGTGCACCATCGCCTGATTGTGCGTCGCGTCCCCCTTGAGCACAAACGACGTGCTGATGAGCGAGACTTGCGCCCGCGAAGCCGCTCCGGCCATCGGCGCTGCCCGCGCCCAGCGCCCCTGGCCCGCGGCAGGGGCGCCGTCCTCGCCGGGACCCGGAGACTGACCGGGACCCGGGGTACCGGGCTCCTCGTCGCGCGCCCGCCGATCCTCGCCACCGCCGGGCAGCGCGCGCCCAGCACGCGGGTTCGGCGGCGCCCGGGTCAGCCAGGCGCGGGGACCCAGGCGCCCGGGCTCCGGAGAGCGCCCCGCCGCCCCGCAGGCGGCCAGCAACAGCAGCAGCAGCAGGAGCGGCCGCGAGCGCGGCGAGCGCGGCGGCGGCGGCGGCGGCACCCCTGGGCTCGGGGCTCGGGCGGCGGGGCCGGGGCCCTTCGGGGCGCGCGGGGACCCCCGGAGCGCCATGGTCGCCGAGGGGCGGCGGCGGGGCCAGCGGCGGGGCGGCGCGGGCGGGAGAGACCGCGGCCGGTAGAGCGGAGGGCGCTGGGGAGCGCGAGCGAGAGCGCAGAGAAAGGAGCCGGCGAGGGGAGGGCGCCGGCGGGAGGAGGGGACTCGGCGCTCCGCCGCCGCCACCACGCAGCCGAGGGCGCACCGCCACCTGCCGGCCAGCCCCGCGCCCGCCCAGGCGAGCGCCAGACGCTCAGCAACCGGGGCTGCAGGAGGTCCTGGGGCGCGCCCCCACCCTCCAGGGCCACAGGCCTCGCACTCCTGTCCGCGCCTTGCTCCTTCCCTCCTCATCCCCCCTCTGCTGCCCTCCGCCCTTCCTCCAGCCCTTTCTTCCTGCATTTACTGAGCACCTACTCTGGAAGAGCCAAGTGCCAGGCACTGGGGATAACCGCGTGAACACAGCCGGGGGCCTGGTTCAGCAGCTGAGAGTCTGCTGTCGGAGACAGACCACCCCCGAGTGGACGCGATCATGGACGAAATCGCCCCAGGGAGACAGGATGAAGCCAGATCATAAGTGGAAAGGTAGTCTGTTACAGGGGCCTCTGAAGCAGTAGCAGTGTGTCGGAATCGAACCCAGCACCTTGAGGATGAGGAGGAGACCTTTAGAAGTTGGGGGTGGGGAGGCGGGTACTTGGAAAACCCTAAGGCAGCTTCCAGACGACCTATTCCTGCAGCCACGCCTGCGGCCGAGGCTTCGGGACTTGCAGATAGTGGCTTTTTGTCCCAACCCCGGAGGCCACCAAGGGGGCAGCCCTGAACGTAAGCACGGACACCTGGGCGAGGAGAGGGTGTGTGCAAGGTCCCATTCCGAGCCTGGCAGGCCACCGCGCAGAGTGGGGAGAGAGGCTCAGAGCGTGGAAGCCCTCTCCCAAGGTCATGAACCTACTTTAGGCAGAATTCAGTGTAAGAGTCAGCTCCGCATCCCCTGCCAGGCCAGGGGCCGCCCTGCCTCCATCCCCCTTCCCAGTGGCCCCTGCATTAGAAATCCTCAGGCTCAGTGCCCTTGTCAAACTCTCCTCCCAGATGGGTCTCTGCTTCTGAAAGAGAAAGAGAGAATGCTCACAGAGAGAGCCTAACAGGGCAGAGCAGCAAAGCCTCGAACATTCAGGAAAGATAGACAGAGGGGCTTCCTGCTGGCCCCCAAAGAGCTCAACCACCCAGCGCCCTCTCTCCTGCATGCCCACCCAGATTCAACCAGAATTCATGCTCAGTAAGAGACTGGGCCTGCTCTCTGCCCAGCGCTGGGGTGGGGGGCAAGGGGCTGACTAGATATCTACACTGCCATCTCCTACCTCAGAGCGTGCCCTCACCCCTCCACCATGTAAATTCCTAATCTGTCAGAGTCTGACTCTCCAGCTCATGGCCAGGGTCAGGAGAGCAGGGGGGAGCCAACAGCTGGAGGAACATCTGTCCAACACAGGGACAGAGCAGAACAGAATGGGGTCAGTGCGGGGCTGAAGGGAGGGAGGACGAGGTGCGGGGGTGTGTGTGAGCTCAGTTGCAAAGTTGTGCCCGACTCTTTGCGACTCTGTGGGCTGTAGCCCACCAGCCTCCTCTGTCCATGGGGATTCTCCAGTAAGAATGCCAGAGTGAGTTGCCCTGACTTCCTCCAGTGGATCTTCCCAACCCAGGGATCAAACCTAAATCTCTTACATCTCCTGTATTGGCAAGCAGGTTCTTTACCACTAACACCCCCTGGGAAGCCCTGACTCATCCCTTATCAGAATTCAAAACTCAGAGATGTTATTTCCCCCAGATTTCTCAGCTTACAAACACTTCTGGGCCTGGGGACCCAGTGATGAGAGAGGAAGACAAGATCCCTGTTCTGGGGAGAAGTGTCTGTCCTCGTGCAGACAGGCAGATCTGGGAGAAAAACCAGACAGTGCTACCTAACCAGGAGAAACCAAGGCAGGTGTGGGATGGTGATGAAGGGGTACTGGGGGCCAGGTGACTTTGAGCAGAGAGGGAAAGGAGCTGCATGGACCTGGCAAGAAGAGCTGTCCCAGCAGAGGGGGAGCCCATGAGCTCCAGCACGTCCCAGAGCAGCTGAGCGGTCAGAGAGGGAAGGCGCCAGGCTTGATCTGTGTTCACAAAGCACAGCAAAGGCTCCGGGGCGCGGGGGGGGGGGGGGGGGCTTCAAGCAGGGGAGGGAGGCCAGTGGCGTTCTTATAGCATCACTCTGGCCGGGGGGAGGACAGGTGCAAGAAGGCCTTAGGACGTGACTGTCCGGGACCTGAGAGAGGCTGGGCACGGGGGCGGGCAGAGACGGAGGAGGAGGAGTGGAGGGAAGCCAGCCTGCTGTGTTCACCTTCCTTAGTGACCCACGTCAGGGACTCGGACACATGGCTGCAAGTGTAGAAAGCAAAGGAGAGCTTCAAGCAGGCTTTCTGTCTGACACCCTGGTGCAGAGGGGTCTCGGGAGGCCACAGAGGCCATGTCTATGGCGCCCACCAAGGTGGCTGATGGCTGGAGCGTGAATGCTGACAGAGGCATTGCAAAACCGGGCAACGTGTGGACACTGGGGTTCAGCACCTGGTATTGGGTGCATGGAATAAATATTAAACCCTCTCCAGGTTTGTAACACCTCAATCTTCACAACAGCAAGATCCTAAGACTGGGAAACCAGCCCCTGCATCCTTCTTCTTCACCTCCATGCAAGCCACTGGACTCCGGACTGAATCAGGCCTGCTCCTGCTCCTGGGGGAATTCACAGCCTGATGGGGGAGGTGCACAGTCTGATGAGGGAGGCACACAGCCTGATGGGGGAGGCACACAGTTTCATGGAGTTCACAGTCTGATGGGGGAGGCACACAGTCTGATAGAGGAGATGCAGAGTCTAATGGGGAGGTGCGTGGTCTGATGGGGGAAGCACACAATCTCATGGGGGAGTTCACAGCCTGATGGGGGAGGCACACCATCTGATGGAGGAGATGTACAGTCTGATGGTGGACTTCACAGTCTGGTTGGGGAGTTCACAGTCTGGTGGGGGAGACACACAGCCTGATGGAGGAGATGCAGTCTGATGAGGGAGGCACACAGTCTGATGGAGGAGATGCACAGTCTGAGGGTGGAGTTCCCAGTCTGGTGGTGGAGTTCACAGTCTGATGCGGGAGGCACACAGTCTGATGGCGTTCACAGTCTGATGGGGGCGGTGCACAGTTTGGTGGTGGAGTTCACAGTCCGGCCAGGGAGGCACCCGCTAAACAGAGAGTGACCTCAGGGAAGCAGGTGCTCCCAGGGAGGTGTCTGGGAGCCTAAAGGAAGGGAGCCGCCTTCTGAGGTTCAGGGGGACGTTGCTCAGAGGAGTGCCCTTGACTCCTCCTCCCAGTAATAGTAACAACAGTAACATGTGGTCAGTTCCCCTTGCTGGGCACCTCCTCAGGGCGAGCACTGTTTGAATGGAAGCGTTCACTGAGCCTCTGATGTCCATGTGGGGGCAGTCCTGTTCTCCCCAATTTAAAGGTGAGGACGGTCACAGCACGCAAGGGGCAGTAATTTTTCTTAATTTGTTTTTTAATTGAAGGATAATTGCTTTACAGAATTTTGTTGATTTCTGTCAAACCTCAACCTGAAGCGATCAGGTTGTGACATCTGTTACCGCATTGACCGCCAGGGTGGATTCGGCCAATCCGGCTGGCTAGGCGGTGTCCCTTTCCTCCCTCACCGCCCCACGTGCAGTTGAAAAGGATGCCCTCCCCCGGTGGAGGAGGACCGGTCTCCCGTCAAGGGTATACGGGTCGCTGCGCTCCCCTGCTAGAACCTCTGAACAAGCTCTTGAACAATCTCCAAACAAGGTGGCCGTGATTTACTTGAAGGGTTCCAAGGCCCACGTCCTCATGCATCGACTGGGCGTCCTGAGTATCGCCCAGCTTCACCTCTCTGTTTTAGAGACTTGCCTCGCCTGTAAAATGGGACCAGTGCAGCCCTGACTCGGGCACTCTCATGTGTCAGCTCTGGACCTGTGGCATCAGCGTTGATGGCAACTGGTTAGAAATGCTGGTCTCCGGGCCCACCCCACACCTTGCATCCTTGTACGCTTGCTTAGTCGTGTCCGACTCTTTGCAACCCCGTGGATAGTAGCCCGCCAGGCTTTCTCTCCAGCTTTTAATCAGACCACCTGCTCATTAAACATCTCAAGCTTTTTTTAATTATCAAAGGTGTCTTTGATAATATTTTAATATTATATTTTAATTTAATTTAGTGACATTTTAATCTATCTTTATAATCATGGCAAAGCTCAAGAGATACAGCTCCCCAGCCTGTCCATCTCAGAAACGGCCAAGGAATCACAAGAGAACCTCGCCAGGGACACCGGGGAGCTCAGTAGGAGGGAGGCCGAGCATCCAGACAGGCTGGTGCGGGGCTGGGCTCCACAGAGGGGAGCCCGGGCCACTCCCTCAGCCACCCCCTCGGCCCCCAGGGGCCCTGAGACATTCCGTACCTGCTCCAGGGCAGGGGGCAGCCGGGACTTGCAGACAAGTCTCCTGATGACTGTCAGTGAACAACAGGGTTAGGGGGGACAGCTTTGAGGGGAAGCATCAGCGCTACAACCTCATTACCAGGTTGTCAGGGGAGACGGAGGCGGCAGTGGGGTCGGCCGGTCAGGAGAGAAGTCTGATCCCGAAATGGAAGGGAAGCGTGTCCAGACGGAGGAGGAAGACGGTGCCCCACGGCTTGACTGATGCAGGGGAGACAGAGGACGCGGTGGTGGTCCCTTGGGGGCATGGTAAGGGAGCAACCGTGGTGGTGGTGGCTGCTTCCTGCTCGAGGCAGGAATTTCCATGCCTGGAGTGTCAACGCTGTGGGCCCCCAAACCCTAAACACATGGCGTGAGAGGCCAGCCAGGCAGGAGCCCCGGCCGGACAGGGCGCAGGTGACCGCCAGCCACTTCCGGCCAGCAGGGCTCTCTTTAATCACAGACACTGCATAGCAGGTGCTGCAAACAGCTCGGTTCAGTTCTCTCCTGCTCATCAAATGCTTGCTGAGCACCTACTGTGTGCCTGGCTTGAGTCCAGGCCCCCGGGAGAGAACAGGGAAGGGGTCACACCAAATCATCGGAGGCAAAAACAGGAACTGGTGGAGAGACAGGGAAGCGTGGTCCTGTGAGGGACCAGCGTGGAGCAGGAGCTGGAGGAAAACCATGCAGGGACCTTAGAGGAAGAGCTTCAGGGGGCTGCGTGCAGGGCGGGGCCAGGCGGGGAGAGAAGGCCCCTGGTCCCTGGAGCACCCATCGTGGTTTCCAGGGGGCCAGGCGGTGACCAGAGCCGGCACGCAGCCTTGTGAAGGTCAGCACCAGCGACGGCAACGGCGGGTTGATGACACTGGGGCAGAGACATGGAGATGCTCTCCCAGCTACCTCGCCAGCTCTGCCCCAGGCGCTTTGCAGGGTTGCCCTGCCCTCCACCACCCTACCCCTGGGGGAGGAGGGGCAGCAGAGAGCGCCACACTGTCTCCTCGTCACAGCTGAAGAAGCTACAGCGCAGCATAACAAGGCGGGGTCTTGCCCAGGTCTCCACCAGCAGCACGGGGTGCCCGTGCACTCCGGCTTCCCCGCATGCCGATGAGCTCCGGGGCGTGGCCTGCACCTGGGGGTGGGGGGGGTCCCTCCAGGCCAGGCTCCTCTGCCTTGGCTTTCACCTCTGTCTTCCCCCCAAGCCTGTGGGGCCGGCATCAGCTCCACTGATGCCTGGTGAGACCAAGGCTCCCGGCGTGGACAGTGACCAGCCCACCCCGTGCAGCGGGGAAGTGCAGCCGTGGGGCCTGAGCCTGGGCTACCCCTGAGCCCTGCCGCCCCCAACTGTCCTCTCACACAAAGCCCTGTGGGGTCAGAGCGCGGGGATAGAGACCAGCGCGGGCCGGTTCAGGAAGGCAGCTGTCTCAACGCCCCTCTCCCCTCCCAGGAGGGAGCCCTCTCCTACCGGGTGGAGGTGTGACGCAGGAGGGAGCGCCCCCTCCTCCTGGGTGGAGCTGTGACTCGGGAGGGAGCCCTCGGGGCCTCGGATCACCGCAGTACCGAGCCATCTCCTGTGGGTGCCAGGGGAGGCCTGGGAACGTAGCTCCCACGGGCCCAGAAGCGTGGGGTCCCTCACCCGGGGCCAGAGCCCAGTTTGGTCCCTCTTGCAGGCAGGGCAGAGGCGCGGAAGGCTGGACTCAGGAGTGACAGACCTTCGACCAAACAGAAACCGTCCTTGGGGCAAATCGCCGAGGCCAGAGTCTTGGCACAGCCCCGGGCCACAGTAGGAGCCCAGAGAATGTCTGTGAAGGAGGAGACGAAAGCAGGGCAGAGGGCAAAGGAGGGGGGACACAGCCAGCCTTGGGGGGCCCACCTCCTCCTCAGCCTCACCCACGGCAGAAGGCAAGTGCCCCCTACACACCCCCACCTCCACCACACACCAGGGTCCATTGGAATTGCAAGAGGGAGCCAAACATGCCAGTTGCCTCCCATGTGCCCGTGTTTTGGTGCGCAGTTATTCTGATCTTAGAAGCAGAGAAGCCCAGAGAAGCAAAGTAACCTGCCTTGGATCACACAGCTGGAGAGAGGCAGCCTGGACAAGGGTGCTCACAGTCCTGGTTCAGATGTGGCTGTGAATGCACTGGCAATGCCTGCCTGCCACGTGGGTGCCCTGTGTCTGAAAGTGCCCCCCTCGTGGAGGCGCAACTGGCGTTTGTCGGGGGGAATGAGCTCAGAGTGGGCGTGAGGAGCGAGCCTGGAGCTGGGTGTGGTCTGCGCCCTGCAGGTGAGTCACTGAGTGTCTCTGGACCTCTGTCTTCTCGTGTGTTCGGTGAGAATGGTCATCGGCTGTGTGTGGATAGATGAGCGTTTGTGAGATGCTCAGAAGGGTGTTTCTGTGGGGCGCGTAGCTTAGGAAACACCCCAACTCTATGCTGCGACATGTGCGGATCAAGGACAGAAAAGCCCTGCAGTTTAACAGTCTGCTTGACTTTGATGAATTCAGTTTTCCCCCGACTTTCTGACCTGGTAGTTCTTTATTTCCACTTAGCAGCACGAACACCCCAGAGAACACGGGCTATTACAGAAATACGTGCTGAGCACGAGGAAGATACAGGCAGGGAAGAACTTACTCTGCCTGAGGGGTTGTGTCAGGAAGAAGTACATTTGAGCAGGTCTTGAGCGATGAGCTGGGCCCCAGCTGCAGTGAAACAGGGTGCAGCACAGACAGGGGTCAGAGGAATGCAGGCGCCTGGTCCGCGCGGGGCGGGCGCATTAGGCTGACTGCCTAGGACGGAGCCGTACCCTTTAGACTGGAGGAGAGAATGGGCTTCTCCTGAGATCAAAGAGACCCTTCTAGGGTTTTCAGAGAAGGAACAGCATGATCAGATTTGTGTTTTGGAAAGCTGCTCCTGGCAGATTCTGAAAGCTGGAGCTTGGAAAGGAGACAGGAGGCCAGCTGGGGGCCATGGCATTGCTCCAGGAGAGTGACAATGAGACCTGAGCAGAGTCATGGGCAGCGGCGGAGAGGAGGAGGTAAGAGGTGGGTCCCCGGAACCTGGGATGGTGTAAGATGAAAAGGACGGGGGAGTCGAGGAGGCTCTGAGGTCTTTGGGAGAATGAGGGGGCCATGTTCCTCCTCGGGGAACAATTTGAAGGAGAAGGTGTCTGTGGGGCATCTTGGAGGTGTTAGGTGAGGCCAGGCTGGGCTGCAGTCACAAAGTTTAACCCCGATGTCAGGGGGGTAACCCAGGAAAGGTGCATCGCATCCATTCACAAAGTCTGAGGCAGGTCGACTGGCCCTCCTCCATCCTGCAGTCCTCCAGTCGCAACAGGTGACCTCCAGGGTCACTGTGGCAGAGGAGAGAGGACTGCATGGACATTCTGTGGGGACTGGACGTGGCCGGCACTCCAGCGCTCACGCCCCAGTGGCCAGAACCTGGGGTCACGGCCTCCTCCTGCCCACAGCACGTGGACATTTGGCGAGCCCTACTTGTCCCCCTCATGCCGGCAGGGAGGCTCCAGAGACCCTTGGAGATGGTGATCGGCAAAGTCTCAGGGCTTGAGATGCAGATGTGGGCATGACTGTTGAATGAGATCACCCGGGGGAAAAAGGAAAAGAGAACGCTAGGGTAAAACCAGCAACACCTCTGAGGTTGCATTGATCTTTAGGAATTCCCAGAGGATGATAAGATTTAGTCCAAAATCTCTTGTTTCCAAATATCTGATTATTTGTTGTCATGTAGATAAGGCATCCAGATTTTTCCTGAATTTTTCAGTTTCCATATGGTTTCTTGGCACCACACAGGCAGCCAAAAGCACTTGGCAAGCGTTTGTGTGCTGTGGTGCTCTGTAGCACTCTGTGTAAGGCCAAGACCTCACGATGATAGATTGGTCTGGAGCAGAGGTTTTCAAAGCCTTCAGTTCCAATAAACATTTTAAAAGGGAACTGACTGTATTCCTACCTTTAAGTGTCGCTTTAGAAATCAAAATGTGTGCTTTAAAATTATTGTATATGAAACTGATTTTTTTTTAATTTAAATGCTTTCTACACTTAGCATTTTTTCAAAAATAAAATTTTCCACAAATAAAATTTTGGTTGAAAATCATGGTTTGAGGGAAGACTTGCTGTTTTCCTTGGCATGTGTTCCCGCCGTAACCAAGACTGGGAGGAAAATGGGATGCTTCTTCCATAAGGCTCTCACAAAAGCCTTTCCCTGAGGCTAGGGTCCCCACTCAGAGACCACAGGCGTCCTGAGCCTGGGATTGTGCACTTTTTGCTCTCCACTTGGCCTCACTGTTCAGCACCATGCTGGGCATACAGTAGCCTCTCAATCCATATTGGATGGATGGGTGGATGTGTGGGTATGTGTGTGGGTGGGTGGGTGGGTGGATGGATGGATGGATGGATGGATGGATGGATAGATGGATGGGTGTGTGGATGGACAGGTGGATGGGTGGGTAGGTGGGGGGATGGATAGATGGGTAGGTGGTTGGGTAGGTGGATGGGTAGATGGGTGGATGGCTGGTGGGTGGGTGGGTGTATGGATAGATGGGTGGGTGGTTGGATAGGTGAACAGGTAGATGGGTGGATGGATGGTGGGTGGGTAGATCATTTACACTGTTACATTGGAAACTCCTAGACATTCAGACTTCTAAACTACAACTGGTGAAATGAACAACAATTTGTGGATGGGAAAAGCACTGGACTGGGAGTCAGGGGACCCATGTCCTGTGTTACCACTTCATGGGCTGAGCTTTGAGAACTTAGGAAGATCCCCTTCATTGTGAATACGACTATTTTCCTCCTCTGCTAAATGAGGTCTTATCCACTTGAGCCAACTTTTATAGCTTCATATCCAGCCCCTTCTCCCCTACCCCCATCCTCCCAAGGACCGTGAACTGTGCCCACAACATTCCCAATCGAAAATGCACTTCAGGGAGGCAGAACTTCCACTTAACGGCCAAATGAAGAGGTTGGTAAATCCTCTCTCCAAAAATCAGTTATACTGCACAAATTGACCCAAAAAAAAAAAAAAACCACCCAACTATTTCCATGCCCTGGAAGTCATCCAAGAGCATGCAACCATCAGAGAAGTGTTTATGCTTGAAAACTGCTGAACTTCAGGTACAAACAGAGGGAGCCTACAGCATTCTGTCCCAGGGCTGCTCCCATGCCACTGTCCCGGCTGAAGAGACTCAGAGATTCTGCAAGACGTGGCAGGTCATGAGGACCAGCAGCTGCAATGCCACAGGCGAAGCAACTCACGCAGCTTGGAACAGTGGGTGATGGCCATGCCCAGTAGCACTGTTCATGGAAATTAGTGTCTTGGAGATAGTGTAGAATGACCAAAGCTGTGTGCCTCTAAAAAGGACCCAAGACAACCCCAGACTCCTAGCTAACCCCATGACCATGTGCATACATAGGAAACATACAAGGCCTGGTGAAAAGCAAAAGCCAGGCAGACTATAAATGCCTAAATTTTGAGAGTGCTCCTCTATCCACACACAGGTCTGTGACAGAGCTTAGAAGGCTTCCTAGCTCAAGGTGTTTCAGAATGACCTCTGATCAAATACTGGCTGACCTCGAAGCTATGCAAAGACAGGGGATCAGAAGCCGGACTTAAAAATAAAAATTAGAAATTAAAAACAACGGACCAGCCTCAGAGACAGATTTCACAGATTTAACCCAGGCATGTTTAAGCAAATAAACAAAAAATAGCAACAATCATCTGGAGGAAATAAAAGTCCAGGATTGATACAATATACAACCCAAAATGTCTAGTTTTCAACAACAAAATTAATAAGAAATGCAAAGAAACAGGAAAATATGACCAATATCAGAGTAGGCAGTCTTTAGAGGTCTCTAGAAATTGGTGGTAGTGAGAGATTTCAAAGTTGCTAATCAGAAGTATTAAAAGAAAGTATAACAGCAATAAATCAGCAAGTAAAGAGTCCCAATAAGGAGGAGGAATAATGTAGAAGAACCAATGGCAAATGTGAGAGAGCAAATCAGTGAGCTTGATAGATTAATGAAAATTATCAATATGAAGAACAGAAAGAGATAAAATATTGATGAAAAATGAACAGAGCCTCAGAGACCCAGAGAACAACATCAAGCACACCAACTTTTGTATTAGGTAGGTCTCAGTGGGGGGGAGAGAGAGGAACCGGGCTGAAAGAAAACTTGAGAAATAATGGGCAACAGTTTTCAAAATTGATGAGAAAACTTTAAACACCCAAGAAATTCAAGAAACCCCAAGTAGGTTAAATACAGAAATGTGCACCTAGATACATCATTATCAACTTACTGAAAGACAAGGAGAAAAACATGAATGAAGAAAAAAAAAGCCAACTTACTAGGTATTTGGGGAACAATATGATTAACAGGGGGAAAAACAGAGGACAGATGCTGTGGAATGACATATTCAAAAGGCCAAATGAAAAAAATAAATATATAAAACCTGCCACTAAGAATTCTATGTCCTGCAAAACTATCCTCCAAAAAGTGTAGATGAAATCAAGATAGACAGAGTGACAGAACTCATGGCTAACAGACTTGTCTTGCAAAAAATACTGAATGAACTCCTTCAGCGTGAAAAAGAATGACACCAGATGGTAAAAGAAATGAATAAGAAGAAATAAAAAGCACCAGAAATGGTAAACATGAGGGTTAATGTAAAATACCATACAAGTATTCTATTAATCTGTAGAAGACATTCATAATAATCATATCTTCTTATTTCTAGGTAAATTACACTAAAATGTAATATATATGTGATACTCATAGCACAAAGAGGGGGAA